TTTCGTAATAGCCGTCAAGATGACTGGGATGTCTTACTCCCTCCACTGTTGATGGCCTATAGGACAGCAGAGCATGAAACCACTGGATACACTCCAGCAAAGTTGATGTTTGGTCGGGAACTTCGGTTGCCAGTGGATCTGTTAATAGGACGCCCACCTTATGAAGAGTTGCCTGGAAATGTGTCAGAGTTTGTGAAAGTGTTATCGGAAAGGATGGATGATATCCACCATCAAGTGCGTTCAAACTTGAAAACGTCTGCTGATTTGATGAAGTTAACTTATGATGAGAGATCTACTGAAGTAAGCTTTGTACCTGGAGACAAGGTATGGTTGTATAATCCCAGGAAGACCAAAGGGAAGTCTTCTAAATTGTCTTCTCCATGGGAAGGCCCATATGACATAGTGAATCGTCTCTCAGACGTGACTTTCCAGATAAAATGTGGTCGGCGAGGTAAGCCAAAAGTGGTGCATGCCAACAGGCTTTGGCATTATCACGGTCCAGGACATTTCAGTTGGGATGAAGTGAACATCAGAACAAATGACGTTGCTGAAGACGTGCCACCTGAAGAAGCCACCATCGAAGAAGAAACTCTACTCAGTTTTGAGAAGGGAAACGGTGAAGCTCTTGATGAAGTTACTACCACTGATGTGCCTGTTACCAATAATAGGACATTTACTGATGAAGCAGATGAACCCCACATGAAGCAGAAGCCAATGAGACGGAAACCAGTACGGAAGAAGATATGTCCCGTAAAATTAAGAGACTTTGTTGAATTGTAATTTTGTGTTTGTAATTCTGTACATTTTAATTAAGTTATTGTTATTGGTTTATTATATGTGGTTATTGTTCAGGACGAACAATATTAAGGAGGGGGCAGTGTTGCGTCAGCGAGTCACATGACTAGTGTGACGCCAAGTTTCTATAACTATCCCGTACCTTGGCGAATGCTCTAGTATTTACTAGATATAGGGTAGTCTGGTATATAAAAGAGGGTGACAACGTGATGCGAGGATAATGTAATGTGTGTGTAGATAGTGAGTAATTGAACTGCAGTCACAGGGTATTGTTGAAGTTAACGTTCGTTTGTTATAGTGTTTGTTTTAGCGCGAGTATTGAGATTAAGTGTATCGCAGAGTTATAATCGGAAAGAATAAACCAGTTTTATTAAGTAAAGACTTGTGTCGTTAAAGTTTCGTTGGAACGAAGTTACGGAAAGTTAATTAACAAACGGAGACGTAACAATATAGTTGTTCTTAACAGAAACCTATCACTGTTTCATATAAAATAAAAATGATCTTAACAGTTCTAAACCTAATTTCATAAATAATTTTATAGAATATTAAAATATTTGTTTGTTTTTAAACACAAGCTACACAACGGGCTATCCACAGAGATCAAACCCAGAACTTTAATGTTATTAGACCTCAATCTTATCATTGAAACTACATAGAGAAATTTAAAAAATCACATGCTTTTCTTTACCAGTTTTGTCATTTACTGTGATAACTTAGCGATATGCATTGTGGTTGCATGTACAAAATTCATATCATTACTAGTGAACCCGTGAACCTATAACCCACATTTACAGGGCTGCTATAATACTAATTTAATGCTTCAACTACTCTTTTGCACCTTTTCAGTTTAATGATCATTGCCACTATAGTGCAAATGTAATTTCTTTAACCAAGTTACGCATGGTAATTCGTAGGCCTACTTACTTATGTGCTCTAATGCAAATCAATGCCAAATTTGGGGTCCATTTTGGGGGAATCCCTGTAAAAGTGTTTTTGCGAAATACCTGGGTTTTCTAAGGGTTTAGACGATTTGTTTGACACCACTTAGAAGTTAGTGAGTCCAGCAGTTTAGGAGAAGGGGTTTTCTGGAAATCCCCAGGTTCCCCAAAGGGTGGGGTAAAAAATTTTAGCTTTGTGCAATCATCGGAATCGAGACTATTTGTTTTGTACCATTTAAAAGTTGGTACTACCAGTGGTTTAAGAGGAGTTATGTGATACACAGACACAGAATCTTATTACATAAATATTAAGAAAAAATTCGAGCTTATAAAATGTTTATTTACAAACAAAATAATCATAGAGGCTATGAAATACTACAGATAAAACTCCACAGAGCATGCATGCAAGAATAAATACTTTCAATGGTTTTGAAATTTGGATAACATACAGTTAAAGATGGGAAATGGGATTTAATGATGTTTTATATTTTTTCTTGACGTATTATAGTCACTTTAACTATACCATACACTTCTGTGATTCTGTGTGTGTATAACAATCCTCAAAATTAGGATATCAAGCCCACAGCCTAAATATGTCATCTGTCGTTATGTGCATTGATCAGGAAAATACCACATACAATCCACACCAAGCCACATTTAATACATAGAGAAGGATATACAACAAGTGTCCTCACTAAAGAAAGAAATGAAAAACTTACATTAAGCTTTGTAATAACTAAAGATTTTTGGTGAAATAAAATTAGAGGCTACTTTCCAAGTTAAACCTTAACCCTCAACTTTGTGACTTTTGCCTGCATGATATTCAACTTCCATGGCATATCAAAAAAAAACAAAATGAAACTCCTATTTTTTTATGATAGTGAAATACAGCAAAATACTCTTAACCCTGTTTTTGAACAACAGAAGAGTATTAATAATAATTTAAACTTTTACAATATTAAGCTGCCATACCGACAGAAACGCAGTAGAAAGTTTAAGTATACAAATTGCTTATTATTTTGTGCAGCATTCCTATTTTCTATTAGACTTAAAGTTAGATTATTAAGGCAAGAATAAACAGTTCGTCCAGGGCAGAGCTTTACAGGGTTACTCAGAAACATCTGGATAGTTAGTCTTAAAGTTATTTACAAATTTGGCATTTGCCTTGGTTGTTATAGCAATCTACTTAATTCAATCGTGACTGACATCTCAAACTAGGCAAGGTAAGGTGACTGGATCATTAGACATTCTACTTATTTATTACCAATTCTATTTTTGTATAAAATCTTAATCTTTGATTTTATTCTCAGGAAAATTCAAGAAATAAAAAGGAAATAAATTAGAAGTTTTTCTTATGATAACATTCCTGTTTTGCTGTCACACTTGACATTCTTCATAAAATGCCATGGCTCTGCCAAAAGCGGTTGCTAACTCGGAGGATTGCAAAATCTATATAAATTTTCATGACTTGATAAGAAATATTTTATTAAAGGACTGACCTTTTAACTTAATAGATACTTTTATTTTGCATTTACAAAGTAACAATGGATTACAGAGTGAAACTTTACTATTTTGATAACATTACAAGTTCATCACCTAAAACAATACAGTAACTTAAAGACATGTTAAAATTACAAATTAAGTGACATTAAATGAGAATTAAAAGTTAAGATTATCATTATAAAGTTGAGGAAAAAAATAAACTGGATTTTAAAAGAAACTGAAAAAAACAACATAATTTTAAATAATTTAAACTTTTTATAAATACTTTATAAAAATAACTTAGGTACTTCAAAAGTAAAAGGACCAAGTTTCTATGTATCTCTGCCATTCTCATGTTAATTGTAAATTTGAAATATACACTGAAAGGAAGTATATTAAAAATGAGTCCACGAATAACCAACTATCTTATTCCCAGACTTCGTTATTAAAGAATGCATACAGAACAAACTAGTTTTAATAATGTTTCAAACTCTGTACAAATAGAAATGTCCATCACTTGTACAATAAAATCACAAAAAGTACAGCCACACATAATATGGAGTTTGAATCTCTGCAATACTTTCAAGCGTCAAGTGCTTGAAAAAGTCAGTTTTGAATATTCACCTGCAATTACTACTAGTTGAGAAAAATTCCCTATAAAAACAAGTTATATCAGTGTTTACTAATTACTTAATGTATGTCTAAATGCAACCATGAAATAGAATTACATGTATACAACATATACTTAAGTACCTTCACAGGAAACAAACCATGATTTCTATCAAAACTTATATTAGCATTACTTAATACCCATTTTTGGCCTACTAAAATAAGTGCACTATTGTAGTTTACTTCAATCACTGAACAAGCAGTTTATTAGTAATATACAAAAATTAAACTTATAAAAGTTAATAAGTGACAAGAATTGTTTCAATACATAAAATATTCTGCCAAATCAAATCTATTTCATACCAGTACCAATATTAGAGCTTAACATTTTGTCCTATATAAATACACATTACAAACCCGATGCTATTTCTATTTCTACAGTTGTTCCATGTAATTCAGTGTAAATAAAGCAAAAAGCTCTTTCGTTCTTCAAGAATGTCTTCATTTATGATATAAAGATATACTTTTGTTTTTCATGATGATGTAAAAATTCACACCCATTAGGCCCACAAGTATCTTAAACATGCCACTGAAAAAAAGAAGCTACATCCTCAGTATATTTTCAATTTTAACACAATCGTGCAAGATAAGTGTTCAAACTGGCAGTTCCTTATGTACACATACGTTATAGTTATATAGAGGAAAATCCCTGTAAATTAAAGGCTGCACCCATTTCAGGATTTTGGGGAAGTTTTCCAACAGGAGATGTTAAATTTCCAACCTTCGGACTGCAAAAAGCCGGTGTTGAATTATTTGCACCTGAAACAAGAATCTACATAATAAGATTGTTATAAAGTTTGTGCTAAAATGACAAGTTAGACAAGTGAAATAGTTATAATAATTAGAATCATTTTAATAGAAATAGCATTGTTTGAAAAAGATCAACTATATATAAGCTTCAGGACTCTCAATTAGAGCTTTCAAAATATAAACAGCTTGAACTTACCCATAGGTTGTGGTGGAACATGACCTAAGGACATCTGCTGCATGTTCGATGTAAGGTTATTAACACCTTAAAAAACAAAGTCTTAGTGAATGCAAGATGTAAAATTTCCCAACATATTAAAATCAAAACAAGACTTGAATGAACTTACCCATAGGTTGTGGTGGAACATGACCTAAGGACATCTGCTGCATGTTCGATGTAAGGTTATTAACACCTTAAAAAACAAAGTCTTAGTGAATGAAAGATGTAAAATTTCCCAACATATTAAAATCAAAACAAGACTTGAATGGAGTTTTAATACATCATTATTCCAAATTAATCACAAAATAATGAAAGGATAGTAGATTACAATTAAATCAAGTTTACTTATATATTTGCTAGATATCTATGCAAAGACATTCTTATTAGCTCTTGAACATCACCTACAAACATAATTAATTATTCAAAGCTCTTACTTTTTTGTAAGCCACAGTCTGACTTACTTGCAAGTTGATTCATGCTAGGAGCAGCTGGTTTTATGTATTTGTTGACTGGCAAGAGATTGTCCACATTGATGTCTACACTACCACTGTGGCTCCATGTGTTGGTTTTCTGTGTTGCACTCTAGAGTAATATAAAGCAACATTTTCTCTCCTTAGTAATTACAAGATGCTATTCGGGTAAAGAGAGAAAAAATAATGTACATTATTTTAAACAGCCTGCCTGCTGAACAATAATACAAAAGAATTAATTAAAGCATTGAGGCTGAATATTCTTCAAATACTTATACAAGTATTAGTTTACTGTACTGAGCTAAACCAACTCAAGAAGAATAAATAACTTACAGACACCTAATCTTATCTGTTGATTCACCCATGTCCAGAGTTATTGGCAAGATACAGATTTTACAAAATTCATCTAACTGATATTAGTAATAACAAAGTACCAAAAAAGTTCACTTAAACCTTTAGTCATGATTAATTAACTTTACACTAGTGTTGGGAATTGGATTTTCAAGTTCTAATTGATCATTGGTTTTTAAAAACCTATCAATGATCAATTATTAATTGTTTTATTATCATATGCATTTCATTTTTATAAATCATTAATAACTTGAAAACTAGTCTTTGCACCTACATCATGATCAAGACAAACGGTAGTGTGTTGTGCAGCCAAAACAACCTGCAGAACACACTGTGTGTTACTGACAAGAGTGATAGTTTAGCAATTTTCCACTTTCTGTAGCTTGGACTGTGGTAATCTAAACTATCATATTTTCAATGGATGTGCTCTACCGGATCCTTACTTCAGATACCAAACTTTAAGAAAATCCATTAAGAGATACATGATATAAAATCCCCAATTTTGATTGAATTTTATTTAATAGAAAAACATACAATTAGATATCAAATTTGGTTTAACTGTAAGCCACATGCGCAAAGTTATTCAACACAAACCATTCAAGTTTGACCAAAATTTTTGCGCACACCTACACAAAGTCACGAGCTATTGGTCTGAAATTTTTATTACAGCTTCACATAAGAGTAAAGGTGGACCATTTTTAATTTTTTGTCATTCGGATTAAAGATGGCTGATTTAGAGCAGCAAACTATAGGATGAAAGCACATGCAAATATACATAAACATTGGTTAGGCTAAGCAAACTAGATTAGCAGTTTCTAGCTCATGTTTTCAAAAGAATCATATGGATGGACTGTTATTATTTATTGCTAACTTTTAAGCATAAATTTGCTACATTTTATAAAATTCTCCTAATTAAAGACCATTTAGCATCATGTGATACCAGCTTGAGCAATTAGCATTAATAATGATGCTTGATACGGCTGCACTGATTGCATGCAGGTGAGGACTAGAAACTGTTAAGCTAGTTTACATGGCATTACTATAAAGGAAGTTATTAACACTGTTTTAGAGAGGAAAAACTACCACCATATGTTTAAAGAATCTAGTTGGTTCTGTAAAGTATAGGTCAGTTCCGAATAATAGGGTTGCAATCCTAAAGCTAATGTTGGTTACTATCAAGTATCACTTTCTTATTTGCTGTGGTTTGTTTATGTGTATTGACAAAAAAGGATTGAGTGTGTGACTTAAAGGAACGAAATCAAAATTGGTGGCCAAACTGGTAGCTACACTTATAGCACTGATAAGGATTTTACAGCAAATATTCATTCATTAGTTAGCTAGGCCACATTTTTTGTTCAACTTTGGGCATGATGATGGGTAAAACAAAATATGTGGCCTAGCTAACTAATGAATGAATATTTGCTGGAAAATTCTTATCAATGCTATAAGTGTAGCTACCAATTCTAATTTAATTCAAGTCACATGCTCAATCCTTTTTTTTTGGCTGCAACCTTTTTTCACATCTATGGTGTTTTTGATTAGATAAACTATGATATAGTTATTGTGTTGATGTTCAACCATGTTTTTTAAATTAAACATAAAAATACTTAAACCTGTTTCTATTATTTATTTGAAATTAACCTGAAGCACTAACATTTATCATAAACAAATTCAATACTCTAAATGTCTGAGCTCTGACTAGTGACTAGAATATAAATATTAAGCATTTTAAAGTGATCAGAAAATTTAGCAAACTTTTGTTATTTATTTGTAACTAAAGGGAAACAGTATAGTATCACAAGCAAATTCAATAAGTAATTTAACTTTCTTAATCCCAAATTGTCTAACTAACTAGTGACAAGAACATATACGTATTCACAAAAATATTTAAAAGGTAAGATAATCAAAAAAACCAAATAAATACATCTTCTGAGCATTTCACTTTCAATTAACTAAAAGTACTGAACATGAACCAACAATATGTAGTCTTTACAGTTTATAGAAAAATGTGTTTGATATTCAAAAATACAAGCAAGCCAACATTTTCTGGTTTCATCTGCAACCTCTTTCAGTGGCAAAGTGGGCTCATTTGGAAGTAAGTCACAACAGTTCCTCCCTTGCCTACCAACTTTGCTACTTCTGGAATGACAAGATAATTCTTCACTACTAAATTCCAACAATATCCATAGCAACCAACACTGTCCAATTTTGTATGGTATATGCTTTCTGTTCATTGGCTGCATTGACAGTTACAATAATAAGTTCACCTATTTTCAATTTCTCAGCAATTGTCTGTAAATTCTATGCAATATTTTCTCCTGTGTGAGAACCTGGAAACAATTCTGTTCTCGAAACTGCGGTTTTCAATCCATTTTCTTGAGAAATGTAGTGAGCTGTTACTGTATCGTAGCTCTATGTATTAAATTATGTCCATACATCATATGTGATTGCCACATTCTCAGATTTTGTCAGATCATCTTTCATTCTACTAGAACTATACCATTTGTCAAACTCCTCAACAAACTCTTAAAGGATTCACACACCACATTACTGAATGGAAGCACAGCATCAATAATGAATTCAACTAAAGCTGGATTGTTTGAGACTGAGATGGCACCATTAGCAGCAGAAATCTTCAGCTAGGAATCTGAAGAAACCCCAGATATACTAGTACTGAAATCTTTATGCTCATGGTCTATGTGAAACACCAAAGTTGTGGTGTTTCCTGAAAAATTACACAAAATTTTCTTATATTTTAGGGCTGATAAAATTTATAATATATCCATTATTTAACATTTATCTTAAATATTACATCTATAAACTTGTTGAGCAGGGTCTTTTTGTTGAAATTATGCTTTTCAGTTTATGCCTTACTAAATTATATAGTTATTATACATTTTGTCTTGACATAGGTTAAACAAAAGGCATATGTATTTTTATTTTTAAAGAAAAAAAAAACAACAACAAATTTCTCAGATGATTGTGATGTGCATGCATTATATGCTGTACATATCTATTATCAGCCATGAATCACTGACTGAAAGAATGCTACTTGCCCCATTCACTTTTTTAAAACAGATGACATTTCCATAAAATAAGAATAAACTTAAACTAAGCTTTTTAAAGGTGGTCATGTTAAAAATTGTTTGAGAAACTGTTAATTTTTATTTCACTGTAAGATTCTCTACAGTTAAAGTATAATCAAAAGCAAAAGACAGCTACAAATGTAGGCCTACAAGAAGTTTAAAAAGTACAGAACTAACCATTATACTTTTATTTTTATTATGCAGTATGCATACAGCATAGTTCATGTCAAGGATGAGCTTCATAGGTCCATCTTTGCTTTTCTGAAAGCCAAAATGCTTTCATAACCAACAATCTGGCATTTTTTCCAGGATAAGGGAAAAAAGGTATCGTATTTGCATTGGCACCTGGTATTGTTACTATAGCAATAACTCTGTATTGATTTTGATTGGTTCTCTTGTAGGTAATTAGCCAATAGTTAAGCTTGTTCTGTTATCGATTTTTGACAAAGAACTTTACTGGAAGAATAGAGAAAGGCTGATGTTTTGAAAGAGTACTTTATCAAAAGTTTGAACAAGGACCCACACGGCCTGAAATTACCAAGACCATTATCAATAATACAAAAATATGATTGATCAGTTGACTGGGAGCAAAAAACTGACTAAGTTGATTAATTGGAACATTATCAATAATACAAAAATATGATTGATCAGTTGACTGGGAGCAAAAAACTGACTAAGTTGATTAATTGGAACACCGTTATTTTAAACTGATGATTTCATCACTATACAGATGATGATTAATGAAGTTAATATAAATTTTGTTTTGATGAGTATACAAGTAAGGTATTGGTAAAAATGTATGATAAAATCATGCAGTTACATCATTCAATATTCCATTTTACTACTGGTATTTTCTATATTAGTCAGTTATTGCTAAACATATGACATAAAACCACAAATCAACATCATTCAAAATTCTATTTTACTGCTGGTGTTTTCTGAATGAATGTGTGCTAAGATCCATTTCTTTGAATACTATTTTGTTGTAAAAATAAAGAAAACAAACTTGAGGAATCTCAACATCTTAAGATTTAAAAAAATGTGTTCAAATACATATTTCTAGCTTACATAAATGTACATATTGAATCAAAAAAAAAGATGAAATAAAAAAAAGTTACAATTATTACAAATTGCCAAGTTAACTCATAAAATTATACAATACTTAACAGTTGTAACTTACTTGAATAATTAATGTACTATTATAGTTATTTTTACTCTTAATGAAACTTGTACTTGAGACTTTTTAAATGTTTACATTTTACTATATCAAAAATGTATTTTTGATAATGCTTATCAAACACTTTAGCTTTATCCTGATGAAAGGTTCTCTTCTTTGCCTGTATATTATATTATACCCTATTATTATTTCTTATTCACTTTTTCGAGACTGGCAAGATTATTACACCCAAACACTGGCTATCATGGGCAGGAAGGGCGGGATAGCGTGAGTAGAGGTAAGTATTATCAGAAATACATTTTCGGTATAGGAAAATGTAAACTTTCAAACACACTTATCTCCTCCCACACTTTAGTTAGAATCCCACATTGACCAGATGGAGGGGCCAGTGAGGGCAAGATCTACACAGAAAGTGTCTTCATAGAAAAACAGTTATACAATATTGAGATATGATAAAGCACACTGGTGGGGGGTCTGCACTACTTCTGGAACAGGTTGCTATTTGCCCAAATAAAGTGAAATTTATATGTGGGCATTAAAGGCCAACTAGCTACAGTGTCCACATTGTTCATTATTATGCTGACTGCTGGATGAAAAAAGTCTCACCAAGGCTGATGTAAGAGAGATGGCCAGGGAGGATGGGGAAGAGGTTGACACTCCTGAAGCTACTGGAGGAGTGGAAACTCAAAAGGACATGGAGTGAATCAGTGCTAGAACTGTAGAGAGCAGACAAATCAGAGGGAATGCATAAAGATGAAGACCTGTCCAATCCTGGCTAAGAGCTTCTACTCCCAAAGCTAGAGGGTGAGGTACTGGAGACCAGAAGGATGGGAGCTGAGCATTCCAATGTGTGGCAAAAGCCTCAATCTGTGGTGTCCCAAAACAAGCACATATTCAACAAAAAACTTGAGGAAGAAGCATCCATTCTGTAGGAAGATCTCTGTTGGGATGAGATAACTGGTCAGCCACTAGATTCATTACCCCTGGAATATGACAAGCAAGGAGAACAATCTGGTGTTTGTGTGCCCAAAGGAGAAGATCCACTGTTCAAAAACAAAGATTTGCTTTGAAAAAGGATGAGACTACTGTGGAATTGTACGAATGAAGCATTACCACCTTCACTCACAACAATTTGAGACCCTAAGTCATAGCTCATTGAACTGCTAAAAGTTCCAAGAGATTGAAGTGGAGAGAAGCTTTCTCTACAGTCCCAAATTCCTTGAATTCCATATTGTGCAAACCAGCACCCCAGCCCTGAAGAGGATGCATCTCTGGCTGTGGAGGTGGTAAAGGGGGACATACAGTTGGGTTGTCCCTGTTCAACCACCAGCTGAGATCCAGCACACTGGAATCCGACAGTCTCTCGCTATACAATCCAGAGCATCTGTGCAAATGTTCCATTGGTCCCTTAATGACCATTGAAGGGCCCTTATGTGGGCCCAACCTAAAGGAAAGAGTGATTTGAAGGATGCCACATCCCCAAAAGAAATAGAACTGTGCACTCTGGTGGAGAAGAAGACAACTGTATTTGAAGAACCGCTTGTTCAATGAATTAAAGGAGTAGAGGAGAAGGTTGGCCCCAGTTGAAACTGGAATTGAAAAACACCCCTAAATGTATGAGGTACTGTGTGGGAGTAAGAATAGACTTCTCTTTTTTGATAAGACACCCAGTTCTCACAGCTTCTGATACCAGAGGTCGAGTGTATAGTTCTGCAAAATGGCATGAAGGGGGTGAGAAGAAGCCAGTCATCCATGTAATGGTGAGTGTGAATGCTGAGAGAGTGAAGATGACACGGAAAAGCTCAGACTATGTACCAAAAAACGTATAAATCAGATGTGAGGCTGATTGGCAGAGCATGAACCTGAAAAACCTGGTTGTCCTGCATGATACAGACATAACACCTTGAAGACCTGGCAACAGGGATATGGAGTTAGGCACTGCAACATCAAATTTTGTCATCCACAGTCCAGATGAAAAGAGCCACTGAAGGGAAAGAAACGATTCCATTATAAATTGAGGAGGCTGGAGGAAGCAATTGAGAATAGAAGGGCCAATGACTGGTTGCCAATTGCTCATCCTTTTCAGTACTACAAACAGCCAAGAATTAAAAACCTCCAGAGAGAAGGTGACAAGCTCTGTGGCCTCTTTGTGTAGAAGATCCTGGATGGCTTGTGCTCGAAGGTTGGATGTAAGAGGGTGTTTGGGGAGTGGAAAGCTAACCAGTATGAGAGACAGAGGAAGAGGAGATGTAGACTGAATGCCCAATCCCCTCATGAGAAGTTGTATTACCCAATAATTTGTGGTGAATGTCTCCCAAACATACACAAACCTTCTGATATGAAATGTTACAGGACCTGACTCCATAAGGTAGTCACAGATGCCAAAATCTGTGCTTCACCTTTGAAAAGGATCCCTATCGGTAAGGCCAAAATCACCCTTGTGTTCCAATGTATCATGATGCCAAAGCAGGAGGTCTGGAAATATGAACAGAAGATGCAGTAAACCATCCTGTAAAAGAACTTTGGAGCAGTTGAGAAGCTAGATTAGAAAATGAAGAATGTAGATGGGCCATATCTACTTGAGATTCTATGGATTCTGGAATACCTGAAAAAAAAAAAAACTAGTCTGAGAAAAGGAGCTTCTCTTAGATCCCAAAGAACCAATGCAGGAAGGTGAACTTCCTCCAGTATGGCATTTCTCTCCAAAAGACCCCAGCAACAAACCAACCAAGATACCAAGTAGAGAGCAGAAGCCTATAACATTACCAAAGTAGAAGTCAATAAAATACTAAGATCCTCTGAAATTTGAGCAGGGGACCTGTGATATGCCTCAGACAACAGTTGCAAAGATGATAAAAAATTGAAAACTGTTGTAAGTGACAGACAAATTCTAGAAACCTGTGATTGTGTAAGATAAACAGTGGCATCTTGTCTAGAGCTCCAAATAGTAAGTAGTGGGCCTAACCTCTGAGAGTCCAAATAAGGGTTCACCAGGTGATGGAAAGCAAAGGCATGCTGATCCAATAAATGAAGAGGATAAGGCATGGTAGCACCCTCCCTGAAATGGTTGCAAATCTCCTTGTTTTCACTGCAATGTCTTGCAAAGGTGGAAGAACCAGGTAATCAGATAAGCCACAGAATAAATACTCAAAACATTACAAACATGGCATACTAGATGTAAAAAAGGGTGCAAGAGACAGGATGTCCATCCAAGGTTCATGAGTTGCTGTCTGATCAAAGGAAGGTGCTGGAAAAATAGTCTAAATTCTCACAAGTCCACCCTTGATCTCCCACAAACTCAGCCTAAGCCAACAGGAAAAAAAACATCAGACTGCATGTAAGACTCTATCCCTCTGTGGATAAAGAACTGTATGTCCTCCTCAGAAGGTGCCCCCACTCCCCCAACGCCCAGGTAACATTAGTTAGAGGAGGGAAATCAAGCAACTCTGTCTGAGACTTAAACATTAGAATTCATATTCTAAAAAATGTATCAAAAATGTTTTTTTAAAATAAGATCAAGAAAAATAAACAATGAACTCAAGACCCACAAAAAAGATTTAAAATAATTCAAAAGAAAACATTGAAAGTGTAGTAATAGCACTGAAGAGAAATCTGCAGTAAACACGCAAGACCATTATTTTTGCTGTCGAGAAAAAGGGAGTAAGAAAGAATAACAGGGAGCTTGTATACCGATCAGGTAGAGGGCACATTGACATAGATGGAGAGAGTCACAAGATTAAAATCACTAGGGGCAATATAGTAGGACATAAATACTGCAGCAAGCAAGGTAGAATTCATACCATTGCTTAGAGAGGCAAAAAGAGAACCTTTTGTTGGGATAAAGCTAAAGTGTAAGGGGAGGTAAGTGTGTTTCAGAATTAAAGTTCAAAGACAATTGTACTTACAATAGCAGCAGCCTGATTTGACATCTTAGCAAATGCTGAAACATTTGAGTACATTGCTGATGTTGGTGACATTACCTGATATGAAGTGGGCTAGAACAGAAATGTATACATTTTAACAAACATACTGTTAAGGTATAATAGAATATAAAAACATCAAAGTAAAAATGTTAACACACATTTTTTAATTACTAATAACTTTCAAAATAACAAAATGGTAATAATGATTATCCACAGTAGGTCTTAGTAAGAATATTTGAAAGAATTTCAAAAAACAAAAATCTTGCAAAGTAGCAATGATCTTTAACATTTTATTTTATACTGTGGTGAATTTAGTTTTTTATATTAATATAAATAGCATTCATATAATGATAAAATGGAAAATTATTTCATTATTTCAACAACAAAAGTGAAAGAAGGAAGGTTGGGCTACATCCATTTTGACAGTACCAACCAGGAACTTGAATTGTACTTAAACTGTTTTAATTGATTAGTTTACCATCAGTAAATATTGTTTGTTAATGTAACTCATAGTTATGTGATTATTACATGCTTAGAAAGAACTTAGATTACATCTTGAAGCACCTAAAACCTTTTGGCTTCAGTGGGTTTTGTCATCTTGAATTCTAAATTTAACAAACGTTGCAGGTAGATTAGTAATTTAAAGATTTCATATTTTGTTTAGACTAACCAAAATATCCTATTTTAAAACTTTCCAGGATGCTGCTTGTATTCTGAGATTTGTTATTCTCATAATGTAATATAAAATATTACTTCTATAAGGTTCTAACAAGTCTTATGTTCTCAAGATGAAACCAATATTTGAACAAATCATATTGTTGCATATTTATTGATCACAACATTCTTATGTGAGCTAAATCTCAGTATTTATTTTGTAGCAACAAGCAATTTTAAAAGTTATGAGGTATTTAATTTAAGATTACTTGTTATTGCAGTGGTTGGAAATAAAGTCACAGGAAAAAAAGTCAAATTTTCTAATACCCAAATACAATGTAAAGTTATACAACAAAAAACATTAAATTATTTATTGCAATAATACATTATATATTCAATTTACTAACACATCATCTAATCTTAGCATTCCTTTATTAAGATTCATAGTATCATGCTTTCTGATCAAAGAGCACTCTAGAAACAATCTGTTAACTTAACACATGTATTTATATATAATGCAGAGTCAAATGCACTTTTCAGGCATATATGAGGTCAATCATCACATGAATGAGTGGAATAATTCAATAATTTAACTTCTATGAACTTAAAAAATTATAAACATCAATTTTTCAAATTGTGACTTTTTTCTTTACATTCGTTATTGCAGACTTACCTGCACCACTGGAACAGATCCTGCAAGACCATAGTTAGATCCATTAAAGCTGGTAAGAGATTGTGGTTGGCTTGACATTCCTATATTTTGTGTGCCTGTGTTGAACAAAGGCATTACTCCAGGATTGACAGACCCTCCTGTAATTACCATTCCAGATGACTGTCCAACAAAGTTGTTTGGGTAAAACTGTGTTAGAGAAATTCTCAGTCCAGGCTGGTGAAGCTGACCATTAGATGAACTAGACTTTTGGCCCTCTAAATTAGTCCAAGTTGAGGCTAGTCCAAGCCCAGGTTGAGGACCAATACTTGTTATTGGTGAAGGCTGATGGCAGAGGTTACCTGTTAACCCCTGAGTTATACTTGATGCTCTGGAATGTGGATGAAGAGGTAAAGTTGTTGCTGTAATCATTGCTGGTTCAAGAAACTCCACCTTATTAGGAAAATCTGAACCTGGAGAAGCTACTGAAGGAAAGGAAGCAAAGTCTCCAAACTCCTCTTGACTATAAGAGATCAAAGAATTAGTCACAAACAACAGAACAGGTACAGAAATAACTGCCACAAGAAATGTTAGAAGCACAGGAAAAGATCAGAAACATTATTTATAAAGGAAAAAATTGCTTCTTTTTATAATATATCACAAAAACATTAAATCTTTTAATATATATATATATATATATGTAAAAATATTTACAATAAAATAATTTAAAAACTCATGAGAAAAAAGAATTGGATCTAAAAATATTTTTTTAAACAAGTTTCTAATACTAAGAGATTAAAAACTAGTGAAGAGAATATTAAAAATTATTCAACTTGAAAGTATTTTAAAATTAATTAACTTTAAAGTATTTTAAAATAAATGCAATTAAAAATTTCTTCATAATTAATTTCTAAATATTCTTGCAATATAAATTATTTTGTCTGTTAAATGGTCTCTCTTATGCATTTTCATTATTTATTGATTTAATACTATCCTGAACTGTACATGAATTAAAATAAATGCTTTTTAAATAACTTTCAAATCAATACTTAGTCATAGTCTTGTATAAAACATTAAATAATAAGTCTTTGCATGCAGAAGTTCATCTGATTGCAATAATTCCTGCATCTGTACTTTTCTACTTAATCTTCAATGATAGCTATAATAAAAAAACGATTATATTTCACCCATAAAATAAATGCAGAAAATTATTTCAATGAACTTAATAATACTCAGATTATGGGGATTATCTAACTGGTCATTTGAATGTAGAACTTTTATTTTCCTTGATTTTATAGAATTACAACAACAAATTTATAAATGTGCACAATATATAATTTTGACAGCTCTTTTTAATTTATCAAAAGCTATTTTAGCAAGCCTTGTACTAAAATAAGATATTGACATCTTGGTTTATAGTTAGCTTATGAGTTTTAAAAAGATAAAGATCTTTTGCAGTAAATTACACTTACAGTAGATTATGGAAGGTTTTATCTTTGCAGGGACCATTAAAGATTCGATGACGAGGAACCCACTTTGAGACTAATAATGGCTGGAGATGGCTTGAGTGAGTAATGAAGAAAAACTTTAATGTAAGTTTAACATAACAGCAAATGTACAACGTTTCGACAAGGTTTTGTCATCATCAGGTACAAGTAATTTACAATGACACAGA